TCTTCCCTTTGAAGAGTGTGATGCGGCCCCCTGGGAGCTTGCACTTCTCCAGGCTAAGCAGCCCAGCTCTGTTAATGAACCCGCTTCAGGATCCCGCAGCTTCCTGGGTGCCCTCCAGCTCACAGACGGCCCCTTTGAAGTGGGGCCATGCTGCCCGGGTTCCAAGGCTGGCTGTGGCCGAGCCTGGCATCCGAGGGCACTCGGCGTGCCCACTCCTGCCAGTCTGCCTGGAAATGACCCCTGAGGTGGGCCAGGCGGCACGGTCGTCAGCTGCTGCTCAGCCTGGGGCTGGACTTGAGGGTTCCTGGTCCTGCCTAGGTGGGCCCAAGACTGCGGAGGGCCTCTCAGATGGGAGCAGCATCTGCCCAGCCCACTGCCTGACAGATGCTCTGGCGGGAGATGGAGACCCGCTGGCCTCTCTGGATTCTGATGTGCAGAGGCAGGACATTGAGAGGAGGATGTGGCACCTGCCGTCATCACTGGGGAAAGGGACAGTTGCCACTGTCCCATTGACCCTCCTCCTCACACAGAGGGACTGTGAAAAGACAGTGTGGTTTTGTTTGTTTGTTAGTTTTTTCAAACTAGGTACAAAGCTCTCTTGACCCTAGGGGACAGCTGGCCGTTTAGCAAATGCAGAGAGGGCAGTGGGGACCGGACAATCATGCTGGCTTTTGGATTTTTACAGACTTTTTTTTTAAAGCCACGCATAACGGTCCAGGATTGGGCCTTAAAGAAACCCCAACACTCAGCGGCCTCTATTTCCTCCCCAAGCACAGGGGGGACAGTGTCTGGGACAGCACGGTAGCCTCCTCTATGGGTTCTGCACAGAAGGTCTGTCCCCGCCCCCAGGCCTCCAGCTCAGACACACCACCACAGGGTGAGCAGGAGCTCAGAGATAGACCCTGTCCCCTCCCGCTGTCTCACATACCTGACTGCCCCCCACTCGCTGTGCCAGGTCAGATGGCCAGGGTCAGAGGGGGAAGCCTGTCCCTCCCAGCCCACAGGTGCCCTTTCCCTCACCTGTTTTGGTTCTGGGTCCAGTTTGGAGCTCTTCCCACCCAATCCGAGGGACTTGGGGCTGGGCAGGTGAGAAGCGAAGCTCCCAGGCTCACCTGCCACCCTGGAAGTCCTGCCTGCTTCCCACCACCCTGAACCCTTCTCAGCAGTGCTCCCTATCTTCAAGCCAGGCCACCCTAGCCTAGCCTTCCCTTCAGCCAGACCGGATGCAGCCCTGGCCCAGCCAAGGTCATTTGTGCATAAATTCGTCAGCCCTTTATTGGATCCCGAACATGTGCCACACGTTAAGTGCCCCACCAAGCATCGCTACTCCCTTGCTAAGGGTCCTGGTTGAGGTAGGTGTGCCAAGCCAACACAGGTCAGGGGAGGTCACAGAGGGGTGTGGTTGAGCACTGCCTTAAAGAATTGCTTAGAGGGGCCAGCAGATGGTATAATGGTTACTGGACTCCTACGTAGTCGACCATGGTTCAAGTCCTGGACCTGACAACCTGAAACTCAAGCCGGGCACATGTGAATGTGTGCGCAAAATCCCACGAGGAGAAAGGAGGAGAAGGAATTGTGGCATGACCATCCCCCCTGGGGGGTGATTTCTCACGTTCTGTCTGTCTCTCTGGCAAGTGCACATACCCTATAGCAAAAATCTCTCTAAGAGTTGCTTAGATACAAGGCTGGGGTGTGCAACCAGGGGCCATGTGTGCAAGGCATGGGGTAGACAGTGTCTGAGCCCATGGGGGTGGGGGCTGCAGAGCACGGTGAGGCCAGCTAGGGGGGCCCAGATGGTGGAGGGCCTGCTCAGGACCCAGGGTGTGGCCTTTGTCACACAGGGATGGGCCAACTCTGTGCTGTGAGGGAACTCTCAGTATCGTTCACCCAGTTTGCTGACAAACAGGCTGAACTCAGGGAAGCTAGGGCAGACCCTTGATCTAGCCTGTAGCTCACCAAGTTGTCTCTCGGTGGGAATGGCAGGTACCCAGAAGACAGACTGAGTGCCTTATGAGCAGGTTCTGGGCTCAGAAGAGTGCGCCCAAAACCCCCTGTCCCACAGGCAGGCTCTATTTGATACTAAAACCTCTGGCCAGATTTTAAGCAGGTGACGTGGAGGTTAAGGCACAGGATCACACATGGGTGACTGCATGGTTTGAGCCCCAGACCTGGCAGCTTGAAAAATCACAGGCATGTGTGTGCCCATGCCCAAAATCTGGAGAGGAAACTGGAGAAGAAGGGATTGTGGGTAGCCATCTCCCTGGGGGAGGGTGAGTTTTCCCTTTCCCTCTCTCTGTCTCTCTCCCTCAACAAAACAAACAAAAAAACTTTTAAAAATTCATATCAGTGGCTTCCTTCCCTGATCCCACAGCTTGCTTTGGGATTAGCCCTCTGACCCTAGTTCTGGGAATGAAACCTGGCTTCCCGACTCGGCCCTTGGTGGCTGGGGCAGAGTCAGAGCTTGGGAGCTAGCGCAGCTGCAGCTGCAAGGCCAGGCCGCATGATTGAGGCTGGTGGCGTGCAGGGCAGGCTCAGACCCTCTCAGAGAGGCCCCTTGTTGGAGCCTGGCCTACAGCTGAAGAGATAAGAACCTACAGCCCGCGGCCACAGGAAATGACAAAGCAGTCGCTGATCAGGGAGCCGCGCTGGGCTCATTACGGCGCTTGCCAGTGGGCGAGACACCCTTATCAGGGAGAAAATTGCATCAGGCCTCCTGAATTACTAGCGATTGGAAGCAGATTTCTCAGGCCGCACTTTGTTAGATACCTAATGAACGGGATACAGGCGGGCAGAGTCCTAAGCCGGCGGGGCGGGGGACAAAAGGCTTTGTTAAACAGAATTTGTCAGCTTCCGCTCCAGGCTCCCCGGGGAGGGTTCAGGGCCAGCTAATTGAATTAAGAGTATGTGTGCTCCAGCGAGGAGGCTCAGGGCGGGCAAGCAGTGGCTCAGGCCTGAAGGGGGGGCTTTCAGCACCAAGGACAGCAGCTGCAGCCTGGCCAGCCGGTAATTGCCAGGGCCCGCTGGAACTGTTGCATTTTGCATGACCAGGGATCTAGGGGTGGTGGGAGTGAGAGGCAGACAGAGGATGTTGTGGAGAGGGAGGCGGCTGGGGACCTGAGACGCCTCCAGCCTCCGATGCTATTGGCCCAGTCTGTCTCAACAGATCCTGCTCTGCCGGCAGCC